AGGGCCATGGACATGCTCAAGTTCATCGCTCAAGGGCCAAGTCCGTGACTCAACGGGGCCTATGCTATGCCGATGCAGCACATCGACCCACGGCCATCGGCATCGGCTGAACTGAGGTTATCTCATTAGAAAGCACGTATCTCCGTAAACGGTCATTGTTTTCGTGCGCGTGGGAGCGCAGTATCAATGAATCGACCGCACGCCTACGTCGTGTTATCAGAGCAGATCTATTTATGTCAACAAAGATCAAGCGGGACATTAGAGCTGTCCCCAGCTTGGCGAAGGGAGCTCTGTCCTGCGCCTTGCACGGATGACACCATTTACAATACAGAGTGCACTGCACTCCAATCCAGCGCATTCCAGTTGGCAGCTGTGCCGATCATAGAGCAAACCACCCGGCCCCCTCACGTAGTGTTCTCCTGGGCAGGCGGGGTCACTCGGGACGGGAGTGCGGCGCACACGGCTGGTCAGCTCCGGCTCCCCCTCTCACCGGTGCGGCCGGGCGGGATGGGGGTGCGGCGCACACGGCTGGTCAGCTCTGGCTCCTCTTCCTACCGGTGCGACAGGGCGGGACGGGAGTGCGGCGCGTGGCTGGTCAGCCCCGGCTCCCCCTCCTACCGGTGCGGCCGGGCGGGACGGGACTGCGGCGCGTGGCTGGTCAGCCCCGGCTCCCCCTCCCACGGGTGCGGTCGGGCGGGATGGGGGTGGGGTGCACACGGCTGGTCAGCTCCGAACCCCCCTCCCACCGGTGCGGCTGGGTGGGACGGAGGTGCGGTGCAAACGGCTGGTTAGCTCCGGTTCCCCCTCTTACCGGTGCGGCTGGGCGGGACGGGGGTGCGGGGCGCGGCTGGTCAGGCCCGGCTCCCCTACCACCGGTGCGACCGGGCGGGACGGGAGTGCGGCGCGTGGCTGGTCAGCCCCGGCTCCCCCTCCCACCGGTGCGGCCGGGCGGGACGGGAGTGCGGCGCACACGGCTGGTCAGCTCCGGCTCCCCCTCTCACCGGTGTGGCCGGGCGGGACGGGAGTGCGGCGCACACGGCTGGTTAGCTCCGGTTCCCCCTCTCACCGGTGCGGCCGGGCGGGACGGGAGTCCAGCGCACACGGCTGGTTAGCTCCGGTTCTCCCTCTCACCGGTGCGGCCGGGCGGGACGGGAGTCCAGCGCACACGGCTGGTCAGCTCCGGTTCCCCCTTTCACCGGTGCGGCCGAGCGGAACGGGGGTGCGGCGCGTGGCTGGTCAGCTCCGGCTCCCCCTCTCACCGGTGTGGCCGGGCGGGACGGGAGTGCGGCGCACACGGCTGGTTAGCTCCGGCTCCCCCTCTCACCGGTGCGGCCGAGCGGGACGGGGGTGCGACGCGCGCGGCTGGGCCGCTGGGGTAGCACAGCTTCTCCCGGAGCGGGTGGCGAGCGCTGCCGGTCAGCTCCAGACCCGTGGCCAGCGCGCCGGCCGTCAGCCAGCAGAGCAGCACCACGCCCAGCGCCAGGCCGCCCGAGTGGTGCGTTAGGTAGTGCCAGTTCCACCGCTCCTTCCACAGGCGGTCCACGCTGCGGCGCACACAGCACCACTCGTCAGTTACACGTTTGCAGCCACAGACACAGCCCGCTCACTGTCAGGAATTGGGAGCATACCGGGCGGGCGGGTCAGCGGCTGTAGGATTTGAAAAGATGCACTTCACGTCAGCAGACAAGTGCACGTATAATTTGGTGTTAAACTGTGCGTGCATTCTGATGTCGACTGTGGTAGGTGCGGCGATTAACGTCCGGCCCCAGCGTGGATGCCGATACGGGCCAGTGCTTGTTTGCGAAGTGTTCTTGTCACTTTAACGAACGTTTGAATTTGTTCGGGATACCGACACCAATAAAAATACTAACCATCATGGCTTTCGGGGCGCAGCCAGAGCGTTGGCAACGGGGGCCACCAAGGTGAAAAAGGACCCCAAAGAGTTGCAGATGACCGATTTGTTACTGAGGGCATGTTTTCTTTGTCATTTTTTTGTTATCTTTTTACTTTCGCTGACTGCAACAGAGGCCAGAAGCTACAGCGAGATCAATTCCGTCTAAATTTTATCGGTGATTAACTGAAGAAACCACGTGTTCAAAGACCTCATGAAAATATTTGTCGGTGCTCTTCCTTTAGCAATCGTCCAATGAACCTATTCTAAAACAGTAGAACTAAGAGCCTTTGCCAGAATTCTGATCTAGCTTCTACAAAGATATTAGGGACCGCGCAAAAGTAGATTGTGGATAGAAATGGGCCAGCAACTTCTATTAACATGGCCAAGCCATGTTTGCCTGGAAATGCGCAGCATTCAGCCAGAATCGATAAGTGTTGCAATCTATGAGACGTTGTTTTGAACGTACGGGCCCGACTCGCAATTCTTAGCAAAAAACCTCGACTCTAGGCGTTGCAACCTCCATAAGCGGCGCAGCGTCGGCTACGCAGCTAGCACTAACTCATGGTCAGCGGGTGGACAAAAGGAATGACGGATTTGAATAAAGAGTCTTTGAGCGCTCGTTATTCAGATCACAAAAAGACCCTCCGGCTCCTCTCTGGGCCCCCCAGCACGGCTCCTGGCCGACCCAGGGCCATTAGCCGCCGCAGGACCCTGTTAGGCACTGTGGCCGCTGACCGATACAGGAGCCCCTCATTGTGTCAGGGATTGTGGGACCCGGCCTTGTTTCTGCGTGGGCAAGGGCCTCATGGGCTGAGGCATACACGGAGCCGACCGTTTGGCTCCGTGTCGTGGCTCAATATAATAAGGATAGAGGACCATAGTGAGAGAGCCCTGGGACAAGCCCTCTGGCTAACACTTTAGGCAACGACACTACGAGTGGGGCCGGGCCAGAGTCCAATAGGGCCCTTGATCCTTGGCCTCGAGGGGCCTTTCGGACCCCTGTTCAGACTCCCGCAAACAAGACTCCCGGCGACTTGAGCCACTTGTAGATGTTAGGCAACATGGCCCTTGACTAGCACCCGCACGGTTTCAGTTACCCCGGCTTATCCAATCGTGGGCCTGGCCCTGCTCATGTTTGGGAAATGGGCTTCAGGGCAGTCAGAGGCCCTGGGAGTCCATGACTGTCCTGTGATATGTAGCCTGACTAATATGTAGCCGACAGTTAAGTGTTGGTGGCCTCTGGTCGAGGTAGAGGTCCGCACTGTCCCAGGGGTCACCAATCGATCCAAGAGGCCCTATATTTGAAGTCACGACCTTGTGGGCAATGGGGGAGGGGGGGGGGGGGCATCCTTAATGTGATCTACGTCCAATCCTTTGGGACTTTCAGCCTTCCAGTCGTGTCCTTGATCTCTTGGTTCCGAGGGCCATTTGGCCTCTCTTCGGGTCTCCTCAAACAAAGCCCGGGACCGACTTGGGGCCACTATCCGACACATGGCTCCCCGCTTGGCACTGCGGGCTCCTGACCGACACAGGGATTCTAATAATTGTTTCAGGGACCTAGACCAATGCAATTCGTGGCCCCTGGTCTTGCTCCCGCTTGGGAAATGGGCCCCAGGGTTTAAAATGACAGGGACCCAACTTTTCGGTGTTCATGGTCTTTGGCCCACCGGGACTTCCGCAGTGTCTCAAGGGGTTTTCAAACGGCGCAAGAGGACTCCTGACTGATATTTCAGGTCACAAACCTATTGGCCGCATTCTTTATGGGATCTACAGCCAGTCGCGATTCTTTATGTGACTTACAGATACGGCCGTCCTTCGTGCCCTTGGACCCTCCAATCAGGCCCTTGATCTTCGGTCCCGGTGGACCCCGGGGTTCTCCGGGTCTCCTCGAACACCACCTCCGGATGACTCGGGCCCCTTATCAATACAGGGCCCCCTGTTAGACACCGTGGGGCCCTAACACACACTGGGGTCCCGATCAATGTAAATCGATGGCTCCGGCTTTGTCCCTGCCTGGGAAATGGACCCTCAGGCCCATGCCGGCGCGGAACCACCTGTACGTTACTGGTAGTGTCTGGCCGACATATAGACCCTTATTGATTCAGGAGGCCCTTGATCAGCGTTGGGCCCCCTGACTGGCATTGGAGTGACCGGTTCCACAGACCAGGGCCCCTGCTTTCGGGTCCTTAATCGCTGGTCTCGAGGGGCCGTTTGGGACTCTCGGACCCTAGGGAGGGGGCTCATGTTCCCTGTGACCGCCCCCCCCCCCCCCCCCACCACTTCCCCGCCCTGTCCGCGCCACTGATCACATTCGCGGGAAAGATCATCTGTTTTTCATCTCATTTTCATCTCGTTTAATTAACTATGCCAGTTCATGTGTATGCCTAACAGTCTCCTGGCGAACATGTAAGTTTGAATGCACCTTTGCCATCGCGTGAACACCTACGGTGACAAGCACGTGACTGATACTAATTTGCTTCCACGCTTCTTGTGATTTAGAGCATGGCACTGCAGCTTGCCATGTTAGTCAGTCATAAAACAAATTTAAAACAAGTGCCATAAAACAAATTTATAATTTATCCCCGTGGGTAAACATTTGCCTTCGGGCTAGGCAATAAAGTATCATGAAGACTGGAGTAAGGCTGGGATTATTTGCCGGGTATTTACGAAAGCCTCAATTTTTGTTTCCCTTATAGGCCTTTGCACTTTAAGTCCAAGCTATTCCAACATATACCGAAGCGGCCCCCATGTGAGGCGACAACGTACCACTAGTTTTCCAAGCACATAAGTTTCAAACAAATTGGTGGACAACGCCTATTTGTCAGAAGTACCTGGAACTTTTAAAACCAAATCTCAACAGAAATTTTCCAACCCTTTTCCTGTAACTGGACGCAAGTCACACCTCTCTCTCCCTCGCACTAAGCGTGCCATGTAGCTGAGAGGTTAACACTGATGATTCTTTGTCATGTCGTGGAGATGATGTTCACGGATATCCCAGATGGAGCCGCTGCCTTCGTCCATCAGTCAGTGCTGATAAGATCTCACACCATCAGGATAATGTACTGCGGAAGTGGCCGAGCAGTCGGCAAAAACCGGCGTCACCTGCAGCGCCGAATCGGCCTCTCGCGCTCCATTTCCGCCGGGGTGCCAGGCCATGACGGCCAGACTATGGCATCCGCTGAGCCTGTCCCGCCCTGCCGGAGACCTCCATATGATACGCCTGCCGTTCCTCACCCGATGGTCGGTACGGAGGACAAGCCGACGGGACCCATCCGATGGTCGGTACGGTGAGGACCAGCCGCCGGCACTCACCCGATGGTCGACACAGTGAGGACCAGCCGCCAGCACTCATCCGATGGTCGGTACGGTGAGGACCAGCCGCCAGCACTCATCCGATGGTCGGTACGGTGAGGACCAGCCGCCAGCACTCATCCGATGGTCGGTACGGTGAGGACCAGCCGCCAGCACTCACCCGATGGTAGGCACGACGAGGACCGCCGCCAGCACTCACCCGATGGTAGGCACAGTGAGGACCAGCCGCCAGCACTCACCCGATGGTCGGCACGGTGAGGACCAGCCGCCAGCACTCACCCGATGGTAGGCACAGTGAGGACCAGCCGCCAGCACTCACCCGATGGTCGGCACGGTGAGGACCAGCCGCCAGCACTCACCCGATGGTAGGCACAGTGAGGACCAGCCGCCAGCACTCACCCGATGGTAGGCACAGTGAGGACCAGCCGCCAGCACTCACCCGATGGTAGGCACAGTGAGGACCAGCCGCCAGCACTCACCCGATGGTAGGCACAGTGAGGACCAGCCGCCAGCACTCACCCGATGGTAGGCACAGTGAGGACCAGCCGCCAGCACTCACCCGATGGTAGGCACAGTGAGGACCAGCCGCCAGCACTCACCCGATGGTCGGCACAGTGAGGACCAGCCGTCAGCACTCACCCGATGGTCCGCACGACGAGGACCGCCGCCAGCACTCACCCGATGGTCAACAAAAATAGGACGAGAAGGAGTGCGAGCCAGTAGAGCAGCACGTAGAAGGCGGTGCACTCCTCGCGCCGGTAGTGTACGTCGCGCAGGATTTGAAAGGTAAGGAACGGGCAGACGACCAGCGCGAGAACTGTGTGCACCACCGCCAGGTTCACCATGTAGTAGCTGGAGAGAGAGGGGCGGCGGTAGAGTCAGATTGGGATCAGAACTCACCGAGCTGGAGGTGCGCGGGCGGCGTGCGGTGCGGACCTCCAGCCGATAGTACTATACTAGAGTTGACGTGTCACCGTCGCTTCAAATGGAATACATGGAAAAAGTGAGCATGCTGTGCATTTTTAGTAAAAGTGCCACACAGGTGAACTCTGATTTTGTATTTAGATGTGCGTTCAGAAGTTTGGCATGCATAGCTTACGACTTATGGTGTCCAAAATTAATGTGTTGCACGTAACTCTTCATATAAGCAACAAGGCACCAGGTAAAACGGAATTTTGGCCCATGCCTTTTCGCCATACAAGAGCGCCGGTCAGTCTTCATGGTGCCGTGCCATGACATACGACGGTTGATCCGTGCCAGGCGACTCTACCCTCGCTGGGCTGGCAGGCAGCCAATGAGCACCGTCTACTTAAACAGTGGCGCACTTAGAGGTTCAGAACACCGAGAGACTCAAGCCTAAATGGCCAACGTGATAATGTGGTGGCTACCTGGCATCCATATCACACATACGTAAGTGTAACTCAGAGCACCTACCTGATTGGGTTGTGCATCACTCGACGAATAACGACGGTGAGAAGGATCATTATGTTTCCAGCCACACCCAGTGTTAGCGTTATCATGGTGATGATCATGATGATAATTTTGTTAAGATTCCAGTAGATTTTATGGCTGTAGGGATTGTCTGATTTGAGTGACTGTTGTCCATTGTACATCATGGATTCCGAAAGAAACGGACCATATTGATGTTCTGTGCCGTTCAGCATGATCTTTAAGTAACATTAGCTGACCACCGACTTATTTCAGGGAAACAAGCAGAGAAAGCATCCGCTGGACTTCTGGGGAAAATATTCAGCTGCCGCGTATTTCATAATTGCTCAGGACATCCGATATCTTATGCAGTAATTCAATATTCTTGGGATATTGCTTCCGAGCTCAGCAGGTTTTCCCTCCGCGTACAGCAGCGACGCGGTTTGGACGAGATGCCTGCGGACGTATCAAGTCCAAAATGCGTATCCAACACACTGCGTGCCTGTTTTAGCAATCTAGACCACTGAATGTAACGACGAAAATGGATCATTTCACCTGGACGTAACTGGCGTCCTCTTCGCCATTGATTCCAAGATTATGTCAGATCACATAATAGTACCAGATAATGCACCTTACATCTGATGTTGTCAGCTGGAAATACATACCTCCAAGTGTTGAAATCTTTTTAGCGAACGTGCAAAGTCGTTCTGACATCTCTCAGTAACACGCTCTGTTGGCCTGCGATCTTGGCTACTCAATTTCAGTGTAATAAATGCCTGTCTGATCTAATCCGTACTCACTTCTGGCATAAACAGTGTTTGAAAGTTTGTGGCATTTTCAGGATGCTTCATACCGACATTAGCAGTAGCGTTTGCGTGGGTGCGCATGCCGATGCACTTGTCGCCTTTTAACGGCGATATCAAAATGTCGCTTCCTTGCGCATAGCCAGCTCAGGACATGACTGCCCCAAATCTGGATACAAACTTTGGGCCGCGGTTTGACGAGAGAAGGCCTAACACTTTACTGAGACAGCTTGCCACCTCCAATCAAAGAAAACGACCAAATTGTGACAACTTGTCAAGTAAGCTTTATTCTAACAGGACTCCCATTTTCTGGTCGGATTCCACCGCACTGCCCCGGCGAGCCTTACAGTAATTGCAATACAACCGCGCTACGAACAAGATGAGACTTATTGCTACTCTACCATCATCATCATATAAACGACAAACGTCATAGGTTTTAGCGAACAGTAAGCGAATGAACATCGATCACGTATCTCCGTCTGCGAAGTTCAAACATGCAGCAATGGCTGTTGTGCTGCACTTTTGCGCGGCCGACAGGATTTATCTATCGTTGCAAAGATGCATGCCAACATCGGAACGTTTCTTCGCACATTAAACACCAAAGCACGCACTGGATGGCCTCGTAGTCCTCACCTGATGTGCCGCATATACAATCTAACACGCTCAATCTAACGTCAATACAACAATACGTACAGAAACTCTCTATAAAGCTTACGAAGATAAAGCCCATTCTCAAGCGTTTCGCCTCAGCCCGCCGTTCCTTCCTCCTCCGTTGTGCAAATCGATGTACTAAAGGGGCCAGCTTCAGCGGAAAATGAAGGAGCTCGGGCGCAGGCCACATCACTCTCGTCACACCCATCCCGCATCAGATGAGTGCGGCGGTCGCCGCCGCGAGCCGAGAGCGCTGCCGTCGCGCGCGGGACGGACGCCAGCCCCCGCCGGCGGCCTCAGCTGCAGGCCTCCACCGAAGTGGAGCCGCGCGGGACGGACGCCAGCCCCCGCCGGCGGCCTCAGCTGCAGGCCTACACCGAAGTGGAGCCGCGCGGGACGGACGCCAGCCCCCGCCGGCCGCCTCAGCTGCAGGCCTACACCGAAGTGGAGCCGCGCGGGACGGACGCCAGCCCCCGCCGGCGGCCTCAGCTGCAGGCCTACACCGAAGTGGAGCCGCGCGGGACGGACGCCAGCCCCCGCCGGCGGCCTCAGCTGCAGGCCTACACCGAGGTGGAGCCGCGCGGGATGCCACCCGTCAGCTTGATGGTGTGGTGGCTGTCCGAGCCGGACACGCCGTTCGATGCGGAAGTCACGGCCACCAGGTCCTTGGCCGGCGTGGTGGTGATCTTGATTCGCTGCGGGCGGGGGGGGGGGGGGGGGGGGGGTAGGCGCTCCGTCAGGCTGCCGCTCGCGGAGCAGTGTGTGGGACTTGGAACCCACTGGGCTAGGTTCGGACCCTGTGCGGGAAGCTTGGTTGACCAGAGTTTGTGCGAGACAAGGGGCGCATGAACTCTGCAATTATGCATGCGTCGGTGAATGGCCCAAGCATCATTGTTATTGACGTGCTAAATAAGATCATTGGAGGAGTGCACTCAACACAGCAGTTACACAGACGTTGCGTGCATACAGCTATCAATAGGGAGTCCTTTGATAAAATAGGGTTCTAAGCCCGCTGTCCTTCCTCGCATATGTATGTCTAGGCAAAAGTAGCATCAAGGGCTCGCCATCGCGGTAGTGAGTAGTACTTCGCGCGTCTCTAAGATGGCAACTGTGACACTGCAATAAACTTTGCATGAATTGAAAACAGGAATAAATGTCTGCATCCGATGGAGAAAAATAACGCTCATGATGTTTTAGCTAACTATGAAGGGGCCGAAAAATATGATGTGATGCGCATAAAAGAGCAAAACTATTACACGTTGCGAAGTTTCATAAACGTACTTCCATGTGAGCGTTTTTGCTAAGTTGCAAGTGCATTTGCGAGGAGCATTATTCACATGGATAACACAATAGGAATGGCCTTATTCCTAGGAGAAACCAAGAGAATGGAGCTATAGATGCGTTGATATTTATTTAGGCAGCATGCCTTTATCCAAAATGAATAGCAGAATTGAATTCAAAATTGCCTGCCGATGATCCTTCTGGATTTTTCTGTTTTTTTTTTAAACAGCGAGCCACATTTTTCACACGGCACCAACATTCAGGGGATTAAACAAGGAACAATCGCCAGTCATTAATATGATGCAGTGTATATCTAAGTAAGGATTGGAGTACGCGAAAAATGCGTGTACATGCAAAAAATTTAAGTAAACAGGCGTCGCGTATCACGCTGTATTCGAACACACAAGCACGTTGAAGTGAACAGGCATCACACATCACGCATTAGTCAAACATGTGAGCGATTTCAATTCAACAGGCGTTAGGCATCGCGCATCACGCGTCAGGCATCACTTACGTATGCAAACAATTTTGAGCCAGCACACATTACACATCGATACACATATCACGTTTGCATAATCGGTCATGATGAGTCCTGTGCGTTAAGGTTTGATCGCCGAATTTTTATAAGAAAAGATTCACTTATTCTCCTGTCTGGGTGGTCCCGTGCTCTGTATATGACTGTGAGCTCCAAAAACTGCATATGCGGCAGTACAACAGTTTACACTTAAGTTCATAAACTACGTTTTTTGCGTGCAAACCCCTTGAAACACAGGCTTGCATAAATGACCTATTGCCACCCGGCACTTAATCTTCGAGATAAAAGATTTCACCGGACCTTTTAAAGTCAGGCCAGAGACTTAATCGGATGCTTTTAAGTCGCTGGTGAAATCTTCTGTCTCGAAGCCCGGGTGGCAATAGCTGTCACTTATGTAAGTCTGGGTTTCAAGAGGTTTGCGCGCAAAAAAACGTGGCTTATGAACTTAAGTGTAAACTGTGTGATAAACATGTGAGAGGAATGGTGTATGTTAGGGGGTTCGTGCGCCCTTTTCTTTCGAAATATAATGAACACCTGCGAGACGTCAAAAACAAAACATGAAATACTTCTTTCGGTGACCATTTTGTAGCAAAACACGTTCAGGCTGAAATCCAAGGAGGTCTGGACCCTTTGCCACCTTTAGAGCTCGAAGTCATCTACAAAGCACAGGATCCCGCTGACAAGAAAATAAGTGAATCAATTTTTATAAAAAGTCGGCGACGAAACCTTAACGTACAAGACTCATCATAGCCGATTATGCAAACGTGATATGTGCCTTGGTGTGTGATGTGCCCTAGCTTAAAATAGGATATAAGTGTAAGTGATGCCTGACGCGTGATACGCGATGCCTGATCACCTGAAATCTCTGACATGTATAATGGATATACGGTATGGAATGCCTGTTTACTTCAACTCGCTTGTAGGTTTGAATGAGGGGTGTTGCGGGATTTCTGGTTACTTGAATCCGTTTGCACGGGCACGTGTTTTTCTCGTACCCTAATCCTTATCTAGGTATGCACTGTATCGTGGCAATGGCTGGCAATTGCTCCTTATTTAATTCGTTAATGTTGGTGCCCTGTAAAAACAATGGCTCGTTGTTCAAACAACAGAACAAACAAAGAAAATAAAAATCGAGTAAGATCGTCGTTAAACAATTTTGAACCCATTTTTGTTGCTCGTTTCGACAAAGGCATGTTGCCGAAATATCAACGCATCTACATCTTTATTCTTCTGGTTTTCTCCGAGGAATAAGACCATTATTGCTGTCTTATCTGAGCATTTTTCAGACGCCACGAACATAGTCCACATCATTAACACATTAGCCCATGAAAACCCAACCAAGAAAGCGATAGTCCTCGCTCACGATGTTAACTTATCACAACATTTATCGTCACAATATGCGATTGGCCTTGAAGACTTCTTATAATCCAGCTGGTCATGGTGACGACTGCCGATGTCGGCCAGCTGACCTCGTATAGCGTGCCGGGGGTGGTGGCGATCTGGTAGAGCGCCATGCCGGGGATCATGCTGACGCTGCTCAGCGCCATCACCCAGCCGATGATGTTACACCACTCCGGGAAGGGGTAGCCCTTGTATTCCAATCGTTGGTGGTCGATCAATACGAATATGATCATCGCCTGGAAACGATTTCGGATGAGCTTTCACATAAGTTGTAGTGCCAGATGTGACATCACTTTTAATACCAGTCGTCAGGTCAATGGTGATGTCCAATGTGGTGCTCGAATAGGATTTCATACAGTATGATGAGCGTAATGTCATGTACAACAGCAAAGGCAATGTCATGCAGTGTGAGTTGTGACATCAGGCGTCTTTTCAAGGTTTTTCTAGTCAAGCCGTTTTGGTTCGCCACTTATTAATAGACTATCCGTGCCGAGCTGGGGATCTTTGCGATTCGGCAACACACAAAAGCCGAACATTGTTTTCCTTCAAACGGCATGACCATCATGCGCATATCAATTGAACTGGTCTCGGTGAAGGCTACGATGACGGAGACCGACTTCTATCTTGTTATATCTAGCACGGCAGGAACGCGAACAGCGGCGATTTGTTCGGTGACGACATGACGACGTGATCACGTGACAGTGATCATAGGTGGGAGCTCGCTGTCCGCCGAGCGGCGGCAGCCAAGCCGGCTTACCCCGATGAAGATGGGGCCAATGAACTTCCAACACATCTTCCAGTAGAGACCAGGTCGAAAGCCGATCATTTCGTTGATGTCGTTGACCAAACGGTCAACACCTGGACATGGAGGGGGAGCATGTTCAGGACGGCCGTCGGGCATTCAATGCCGGCAAGCATCGGGCGTGCGAAGGCTGACTGCAGGTTGCGGACGATGGCCGGACAAACGAGATAGGCGCGGTGAATTTGTCGCATGCCGTAGCGCGCTTGACATGCCATCGGTCGACGAGCATCGCATTGCAAGTTGTATGGTCGCCACTGATCCACGTCCGAATATTGTTCACATTAATGGGTAGATAATGGAGGTCATTCGCTCTGTTTGCTGATGACCTCCTTTATGCGCTGCCTTCCCGAAACCGCTAGACACGCTGTTCTTATCCATGCTTATGCCTGTGCACACAGCATCTCACTAGTAGCTTTAGCAAAAGGGTCGCTTGGAACGTCCATGGACCCCGCTTGTAAACAATGAATACCTAGCAGCATTATGAGTTTAAATAGGAACGCTACTATCCAGTGACATTTTCCTGTCGTACACTTTCTTATTCCAGCTCCAAAATGTAAAAGTCTACACTCACCGTATATATAGGAGACAGCGATAGCTTCACAGAATACAGCACAAAGAATGGAGAAACCGAACACATACTTCTCTAAGAGTTGGAAAACCAGAAATCCTCCCTGCGGACGAGAGGATAGCTTAGCTTGGTTATGCTACCTTCAATAGCACGAGCATGATGTCACAAAAGTACAAAACTGGTCTTTAATGACGACACATCAAGGAAACATTGCGATTTATACTATTCCATGATACTTTTGGATACCGTCCACATACCGGTGTGTGAGTTGATGCGTCACTAACAAATGTGCCCAATTATAATTGCCAGGTGCGTGAAGAACACTACTTATGACAATTTCACACATCCTAAACAACTATGCAGGTGCACAGATAGATCTTCCGCTCGCGTCGTTCGACACTGGCCGACGGTCATGCACACGAGGCCGGCGAACCTCTCGATAATGTACGTGATGGCTGCTCACTTTGACCTAACATAGCATCCTCGTAGTCAGGCATGCTCACGAGGCTGAACGACCCGGCACGGTCCGCGTCTCGGCTAAAGGGCTTCACGCTGTGGATCAATTTCGACGTAGCCGGGCACGGCAGAGCAATGCTGGCGCGGCCGCCCGGCTCGGCCGCCGTGTTATTGTATGAGAGAGGCGCCCCCTCCCCCCCCCCCGCTCCGACCGCCGAGGGGGAGGGGCGTCTGTACCTGAGTGCAGCAGATAAGGCCGATCAGGAAGTCGATCGTGAAGAGAATGGCGATGAAGATCTCCCGGTTGTTGTGGATGATGGGGAACTCGTCGCTGAGCCCGGTGATGACGGCCGTCGAGCCGCCGAACTGTCGGGCACAGGCGGCGGGCGGGTCAGCCTGCCCTGCCGATTGGCCGGCGGCGGCCGGGCGCGGGCGTCCCCTCCTCCTCCCCACCAGGCATCCAGACAGACACAGGCTGACCCACCGAACCCGACATCAGCCGGGGGGGGGGGGGGGGGCTGCAATCTGTGGAGCACAGGCAGACGGGTATGGACATCGGCCGAACGGGTCAGCAGACGCCGGGTAAAATCCCATCTGCGCTACAGCATGTCGGATGGCAACAGTTTTTTGGGCAAAGATCTGACGTAGGTAATTGCGACGCTTGCGGACTTCAGGCTGATAATTGATTAAAATTTATCAGCGGGGATGGTTGGAGGGCTTTCTCGAACGCCACACACGCCGAGTGAGGGGAGGCGAAACACCATCTGTGCTCATTGAGCGTCGGTGCGTCACTGTGAGCATCGTTTTGGACCATTTTAGAATAACACCGAAATTATGCATCTTTACTTGATTTTAAGTCGCAATTTTGCTTCTACCAATTCAGTTGAACTAGAAAGGGGCTGCCTTCCAAAAAATGGTGCAGCTTGAAGCTTCTTACCATTGTCATCATTAACGACAGATTTCTCGAAACATTCTAGCATTTCTTAGTTTAACACTATTTCTATGGAAGGAAGTTTACTTGTATTCTACGCCTAGTCAATTTCAACTTTTGAGATCTAAAAATGTACTAGGCCGATTGTATCGCTCTATTCTCGAAGTTTAACACCAGATCATGCTCTTCTATTTGAACGAGACGTTACATAAAATGTAGTTGGCAAAATAATGATATAGATTTAGCATTATTTCACATCATGCGACGCATGTAAGCCGTCAGTGGCGAATGCAGAATGCACTGCTACTGGGGTAAACGTAACTATAATTGATACTTTTTACGTCCCCCTGCTTAGATCACCTGGAGATGACTAAAATTGCTAAACGCAGTCAGACATGACAGTTAAAAAAAACAAGCCTGAAACGTCAGTTGTGAAGGACTCAGGCATGCTCCAAAGGGGCAGAAATACCAACTGTTACGTCTGGTAATTTCAATGCTAGTAAGAGCACCACTCCAGCCTGATGTATACCGCTGGGAAGATCGCGAAAACACATCGGTCAGCTACTTTCGCCAGTGGCGGATGTAGGAATGCCAAATACCAGGGTCGGTTTGGCCATTTCTTAGGTTCTCCGGTCAGAAGCTTTGTACCGGGGTGAACGAATGTTTACCATAATTTAATGCCTTGTGCCCCCTCTTGATTCCGCTCCTGTTGCGTTAGTGTATACCCATGACAACGTTGTGATGACGGACAGGTTATCGTATCATGGCTTTAGAGCAGCCGTAGAACTCAATATCGACTTGTCTGCCTACCATCACATTGTCTAACGCCGGCTGGAGGACAACCATCTTTAGTACGCTCTTTCCCGCCAGCGTCCATTGGGCTAACGTTAAATTTGCAGGAAGCTAATGGGCGCTCAGTCCTTCCTGGCCCCCTAGTGCCCACGCTCCTGACCACAGCGTAGTGTTTTTGCAGGATGCTAAGGAGGCCTGGTCCCTCCTGGTCCTCTGGTGCCCACGCTTCTGACCACGGCGCAATGTATTTGCAACTTGCGTTATACACGCAAACGAGCTCTGCATTCCTGTTTTTGTGCGTATGACGATGGTCCGGGAACAACCCTGCCCCGCAGGCTGACCTGCTTACGTCCGGTACCTAAATCGGACTTAGCTGGCTTCCCACGCTGCGTCTTGGCTGCGCTTTGCGGCGGCCCATTGGGAGCAGTAATAGCTGGAAACTGGCATTCGCCTTCTGACGAACGCCTGCTAAGAAACAGTTATTCCCGGCGTTGCATTCACTAACAGGCGCCCATTCACCAGCATGATAAAACTTCTGGGGCCCATCTGGTCAAGGCTGGAAATATCCAAACTTTTCAATGAGCGTCTCAGAGCCGCGTGCTCGGTGCTGAGCTTATAATTGCACGTGAATGGCTGATTGGAAAAAGGCTTATGCCACAACTTATGCAAAATGGGAAAAATGCATGTCATTCACTGAGCTAGATACGACATTATTCTTGAAGACATGCGGTGATGTTCACAAGTCATGTGACGTGACCAAGGTTTTGCTGAACTAGCACCACGTGCGTTTTTTCATAGCACTGCGTACATCGAAATCAGCGTGCGATCTGTACAGAATGGCAATCCCTAAGCAATTGGGTTATTTCCAATAATATAACGACCTTGCCGTCTCAAAGGGGGTCAATGTCCTACGATGATTTTACGCAGGCCATATGTCATGCTGCCATATTATGCAATGCTGTTGTATTATGCAATACGTTCAGTTCACACGCATAAGACTGGCTAACACATGAAAGGTAATGCATAGGCGTGAAACAGTTAAACAAGGCACCGTCCACCTCCTCAGACGTATGGGCGTGAAGCGGTTAAACAAGTCACCGTCCACTTCCTCAGACGTGTGGGCGTGAAGCGGTTAAACAAGACACCGTCCACTTCCTCAGACGTATGGGTGTGAAGCGGTAAAACAAGCCACCGTCCCACAAGTCCTCAGACTTATGGGCGGAAGCGGTTTAAACAAGCCACCGTCCGCTTCCTCCTCAGACTATGGGCGTGAAGCCGTTAACAAGACAAAACCGTCCACCTCCTCAACTATGGGCGTGAAGCGTGTAAAAGACACCGTTCAGACGTAGGGCGTGAGAGGCACCGTCCACCTCCTCAAAGTATGGGCGTTGAAGCGTGTTAAACAAGTCACCGTCCAATCATCAGACGTATGGGCGTGAAGCGGTAAACAGGCACCGTCCTCCTCACGTATGTGCGTGAAGGCTGTTAAACAAGTCCACCGTCCCTTCATCAGACTATGGCGTGAAGCGGTTACATCAAGCACCGTCCACTTTCCCAGACGTATGGGCGTGAAGTGGTTAAACAGTCACGTCCACTTCCTCGACGTTGGGCGTGAGCGTTAACAAGACACCGTCCACTTCCTCAGACGTATGGGCGTGAAGCGGTTAAACAAGTCACCGTCCACTTCCTCAGACGTATGGGCGTGAAGCGGTTAAACAAGGCACCGTCCACTTCCTCAGACGTATGGGCGTGAAGCGGTTAAACAAGGCACCGTCCACTTCCTCAGACGGCACGCCATGCGCTGGTTCCATTGTGTGGCTATAGTTTGCTCAAGGGCCGCATGACGCAGGCGGCTACTCCTTTCCGAGATCTCAATGGTGCGAGAGTAACTAGACTGCAGTCAGCTCTAGCTGTTACAATTGTTGCACATAGCATTGCTCGACTGCAAATCCGTGGTTAGGCCCCACCCGACGATGGTTCCCTGCTTGCGATGCTTTGGGACCTTAAACGGAGAACAGCTGCGATCTTTCTCAGCAAAAAGAGCTGCATTTTCGGAGAGTGATGCGTGTAACACTTCCTCCATCAGATTCAGTGTATGGTCTATATGTCTAGTCTATTCCAGTCTATATGTCTAGTCTAGTCTATATGTCTATATGTCTATATGTCTAATGGTCTAGGACTGGATAAGGGTCAACAAATCAACATAGGTCAAATTTTGTGTCGTTTCCTGAAGCACCACTGATGTTTTCGACAGAGCCTGTCGCTTGGAACTAATACCATTCGCACGCCTTGATATCCACAAGTTGCCATTTATGTTTTCGTGCTGTCGTGCAACAGCCATCACGGGCAGTTAACATGAGCAGCATCCTGCAAGGCCTCAAAAAGGCCTGTATGGGTTGGTAGTTGGACACAAAATATTTTTTAAAGAGAAAAACATGGGAAATGTTGCATCACCAGTTACAACAATATGTTGGTGCTCTCTTCATGTAATTTTGTTTGGGGCGGCCACAGCAGCATCCCCGTGAGCCGTTGAGGATGAAAATAGCACAAAAAAACGCGTGACTTGTGTTAGAGGCTCATATGCCTGATGTTGGTTTTCAAAGAAATACAACTAAAGCCAATTAGGCATGGTAGTGACGACAGTCGTTCACATTTACTTTATTCCCAAATCAATCCAGCAAGTGGCTTGCTGTTTGATTCGGTAAATTACAAAGGTGGTAAAAATTCATGCTAAAAGATGACAGCACGAAATTATTACCACATTATCAAACATCCCGTCGCTCACACAACTGCGTCAAAAACAAAACCATTAATCAACGTCTAAATCATCAAGACAAGTTACACGACAAGCAATCAGATTGCGCAATGGGGCCGTATATATCGCCTTTTCTGGTGCGAAGCTTCTGGTCGGTGTTAGAGGTGGTGATGGCCGGCAGCAGGCGGTCCCGGGAGGAGGCCGAGCGATACGAAAAAAACCTGCAGGCCACCGGCAGGCGAAGAGCTGGCGTATCAAGAGCTCCCACCGCTGCCGCCCGGGCGGCACGCTGGCATACAGCGGTGCGTGGAGTGAACAGGGACAGGATCGCCACAAGAGTTCGCAAGTCTCGTCACGGTGGGCGACGAGGTCAATAACACCGCGCCAGTCAGCGTTCGAACAGTCGCCACCATTGGATCTCGCCACGAGCATCGGTGACTATCCTGGCCCCAAAGTATATGACCCCTTGCACTCTCTTTAGGTGACGCTCAGCAGCCTCACCCCAGACCGAGAGGCAGTACAAAACATGAGGGACAACGTGGGACTGGATGAGAAGTCTTCGAACCTCAGGCGTAAGGTGGTGACGACATTTAGGCAAGCAAAAAGGGATGTACTTGGGCTCTTTGACAATATGGGATATGTGCATCTTCTAGGAAAGGGTACTTCCAATGGTGACCTACGGTGTCTTTACGGACGTCGAAAGGCTTAATTTTTGTCCCGTGATGTCAAGGTGAAAAGATGAGGCTTTCTTCAGGGATTGTGGAGTGCCGAGAGAAAGAGCTGGTCTTGGTAGGATTCATTTGGGGAGGGGGGGGGGTATATGTGAAAAAGGATTCATTTGAGTGAAAATTGCCGTCTTGAAACGTCCCGATGACTCAGGCGCCACGA